AAGTAGGGGGGCGGTAAAAAAGGAAAATTCAAAAATACTTCAAAAATACTTCAAAAATGATTCAAAAAGAATTCAAAAAGAATTGAAAAAATAATTCAAAAAGAACTCACAAAGAACTCATGAATAATTCAAAAAAAAAAGATAAAATAACGTAAAATAAAATTCACAAAACAAATGGGGAAGGGCGGATGGAAGGGCGAAGTCAACGAGTACGCTACTCTGTGCTGCTTCCCGTGGGCGGATTCCAAATTAAGCCGCCTTGAATGGACATATATTTTGCTGCAGTCCCTATGTCCGTGGCGTTGGAAGATCCCAAATGTGCGATTGAGTGTACGTCACGAAAGTATGCTCATCACGCTGGCGTCACCTGTGACATCATCAGGGTGACACTTCGATCAGATTGGCATTCTTTCAAATTGTCAGAGGGTGAACAAAAATGGCCATTCCGCGTGGCGCGCTCGAACACTGCATATCTTATTCTTACCATTGTGTGGAATTTTTTTTGTGTTTTTCCTTCTTTGCGCACAATTGGGGCGGAAGGCGGTAAAAATGTGACACACGATAAAAATGTGAGAAGCTGGGAAAAAATGCGCCAAGCCGGATCGCGCACTTGGCCTATAAAATGGTACGCAGCCCCTACGTTTGTGAATCGCCCCATCGATAGAGGTAGGCAATGCGCCAGTTCGTTTAAGTGGTTACTTAGCTGCTGGCAATGCAAATCGCGATCTCCGTTGCTACCCCAATTGCTACCCCAATTGCAATACCGGGGGGAGAGAGGCGCAGTTCCCCATGAAAATGGCGACTATTCGCATCTGTTATATGCTTTTAAGGAGTTCCCCCCTTGGCCGCTACGCCGGGCACATCCCCAACTCGTTTGGATATCTCCCCCCAGGACACGGGAGTGCCAAAAATGATGAGTCGATTTTCTCCCACATGTGCCAGAGGGGCCAGACGTAAAGTACTCCCCCACAAGGTAGGCAAATCGCATTTCACCGAAATGATCCACAAATTACACCAGTTGGAGAAACAGCCGGGGATATTCGAAAAATTAATACACATAGGCAAGTACCACATTGGGAAAGAACAACTAAATGAAGGGGAGGAAAAAAAAGACACGTTACGTACCGAACTGATGAGTAGGGAAAATTTAAACAAATATATAGAGCGCATAAAAGCAGATTACGATAGATTGAAAAAGGAGTTAGCGAATGGGAAGGAAGATTACATCAAAGGAAGGTACCAGGAGTATCTAATGGAGTGCATAAAGAATAATGACTACTCCGATTTACTCATAGCAGACGTCATTTACGAAAAAGAGAAAAAGGTTTTATGTGTGGGCGAAGGGAACCTATCATTTAGTACTTTACTGCAGAGAAAGTTGTGTCCATGTCAAGTAGTGGCCACGTCGATGGAGAGCCCAGATGTGTTGCTAAGGAACTGTGGCAGCATTTTTTCGAAGAATTTAAAAATATTAGAATCTTGTGGAGGTATCTATGTTCCCGGAGTTGATGTCGAAAAAATTGGAGATCATTTTCTGCACAACACATTTGACGTGATCATTTTTAACTTCCCATTCGTCCTCCCGTCGGATGACTTCATACAGACCAACTGGAACATACAAAAGGAAAAGCTCCACAGCGACAGGAATATCTTTCTCAAATATTACAAAAAGTCCGAGTACCTCTTACTCAACAGGATACTTTATTGGCTATTTAAAAATGGCTCTCTACTGCTTAAGGAGAGTGGCTTCTTACACCTCCGAATCAATGACAAGTACTTAACATGCGATTTTTCCAACACGTTTTCTTTGTCCTTGTTGGAGAAGGTTGACTTCTCTGCTTCCTATTTCGTTTATAAATCACTGAGGTATGTCCCTAGCATGATGAATGCCTGTGGGTCTTCCTCGGAGGGTCCTCCCAGCTGGAAAAAAAACGTTATGTTCACCCCCCGGGGCAAGGTCTTCAGGAGCTTCAAGATGGGCCACACCTCCACGCTGGTCTTTCAGAAGGGGGGAGGAGGCGACAAAAGCGGGGCTAGCGGCGGATAGCGATTTGCGCAGCGGTTTGCATAACAGATTCGCTTAACAGATTCTCATCGCCGCTCCGCATCACCGCCCCGCGTCACCACGCCTGCGGGGAGACAAATTCGCCACCTTGCTGTTCTGAAGAAAGTCGTACACGATGCCGGCGGAGGAGAAGTTGAAGGGGCATCCGAAGTGCGCCATCAGGCTCCGATACTTCTTCACCTTCTCGCAGAATATTTTGTTGCACTTGTCCATCTTCCCCTTCAAGTGGTCTTTCACCTTCGTCTCGTTGATGAAGTTGTTGTTGCTTCGTCTTGTTAGGGGGGCGACGCATTCTTCGCCCTTTTGCCGTGCCGCCAGGTTTTTCCCGCCCCCTCGATTGCCTCGTCTTCCGTCCCCAATGCCACCTTCTAGGCCGTCTCGTATGTCTCCCCTACTGCCGCTTTCTATGCCGCTGTCTATGCCGCTGTCTATGCTGCTTTCTATGCCGCATTCTATGGCGTCTTCTGTGACACTTTTTCTGCCCCCTTCTGTGCCACCTCCCCTGCCGCGCCACGCCAGCCGGAAGGAAGGACTCATGAAGAGGTATTTCCTCCAGTACACGGCCATATCGACGGAAATCAAATTTATGTTAATATCATCTGACTTGACCAAAATGGAGGCGTATAAAAAAAGCTCCAAGACTTTAATAAGAATGCGCTCTCTGTCCCGCTTGGCCCCGTCGTCCATATACAAATAATCGCTCCTATCCTGCAGTAAGTTGCTATTCCTTTTTATTGTTAAGTCGAAATTTAATTTCTCGTCCTGTATGTGCATCTTATCATACCAGTCGTGGACCAGACTGCGTATGTCCTCCACGTCGAATCCTCTAAAGAAGTAATAGTCTTCGTTTAGCCTCTTCATCACATTTGCGTTTGTCTGGCGAGTTGTCCTGTTATCCCTGTACGTGTGGTCGCGCGTGTGGCAAACCGTTGGCCCATTGCTGCGCAAGTATTTCGCCGCGCCGCCGAACTCGTCGTCTAACTGGTTTGTTAATTCGTCGCCTAATTCGTTTCCTAATTCGTTTCCTAATTCGCTTCCTAATTCGCTTCCTAACTTGCCGCTTATCTTGCCGCTCAGCGCGAGCTCCACCTCGTCATAGTTGCTCATAAAGAATCGATTCATGAGATGGTTCAATATATACTCCTGCAACACATCATTGGGGAAGTTAAAGACAGATTCGTCCGCTGTCTTCACTCCTCGCTCCTGGGCGCTAACACAGAGTGCATCCCTCCCCCGCTGCATATAATTGACATACGAAGCGACGAGGTGCATCTTACTGTAGACGCTTTCGATAGAGTAGGAAAAATCCTTCAACCGACATGTCTCAAAAAATATCCTAAAGAGTCCTTTATTCAAATTTTTTATAACACAAGAACAGACAGAGAAGCATCTGTAAAATAAAGCATCTCTGGAAGGAACGCCAAATTTAATAAGCACATGGTTTATGTTATCCAACAGAGGGAAGGAGAAACTGGATAAGCTATTCATCACGTAATCCTTGTCCTCATACATGCAAATGCTGATATCATTCCGATCGTTCAATTCGTTTAGAGCATTTTTGTCTAACTTATTAGCGTTATATATAGATATCGGTTTCAACCCATGTGTGTATTTAAAAAAATAGTTTATATTTTTGTACTTCTGCACTTTGCTCTCGTATATTGGACATAAATCACAGGCGTAGCAGATGAGCTCTACTAATCTCTTTACTCCACAGTTGGGGGGGTAGACTAAAAATATGATTTTGGTTCTCTCTTGATGCATGTCTGATGGATCTTCTCCTTGGCCACGTCTCTTTGGGGAGGTTGACCTTCCATTGGAGGAGGGTGTCTGTACGCCTGTTTCTGGAAAGAGCTTCCTCAAAATTCTGTACAGGTTCAAAACTTCATTTTTATGCCCTGCAATTTCGTAGAGACTGTTTGGCCGAAAGAAGACTCTCCATAAGTTTGTCACGATTTTCAGCTTCTCACTCTTCTTCATGTTATGCGTTATGCTTCTCTCGAAGGAAGTCGCACTGTCATTGTTGAGTTCCTTTTCCTCGTTGAACATTTCGCCGGATTGGTCCGTCTCCTCGAAGTAGGCCTCGGGGGAGATGTACTCCAGGGAGGACTCATCGGCAGGGTCATCTTCATGGACATCTCCATAGCCATCCCCATCGTGATCTCCTCCTGGGGGGCGTATTTTCTTCTCCATGTCAGTGTCCTTTCTCTCCCCTTCCGGGTTGTCTTCCTTTGACTGGCTGCTCTGAGATGGATACATCATCGGGTGGGGGATGCCTCTCGGGGGGGTGCTGGCTTGACTGTCCAGAGGCTTTTCCTTGGACCTGTTTTCTCTGGCCGAAATGAACTCTCCCACCGGGCCGCACCTCAACAAGTCGTCACTGACGTAGCACGCGGAAAAAACGTCGCAGAGGTTGCGAACGAAGAGCACTAACTCGGAAGTCTCCTCGTCGTTGCGGAGGGGGGGAACTGACTGGGAAGGCTTCTCATCACTGCGCAGAGGGTGCACTAGGTTTGAAGCCTTCTCATCACTGCGCAGCCGGAGCATCAACTCGTGGTGCTTTCTGCTGTACCGATACAGCAGGGAGTTTATGTCGGAGTGGAACTTCCCCTTGGACAAATGCAAAAACAAAAAAAAGTCACTTAACCGTTTGGTCAAATTAGAAAGAAACAAACTTTTATACCCAGAATGAGAAGCCTCTAAACTTTCAGACAAGTTCCTCCGTATGGCTCTGCAGAATTGAAGAACCCTTCTCTCAATCGATTCTGTCGGTGCACTATCTATATTAGTCTGGTTAATTAGAAACTTGTACCGTTTTGCGTTATTTTTATTTATCGGGGAAAAAAGATCAATGCGTTTTTTTATGTCTACATTTAGGTGGTGTAGAATAGCCTCTTCACCAAAGATGCGACCATTAAACTTTTCCATTTTTTTTACAAAATCCTCACTTAAATCGTGTCCAATGATTAATGCGTTGCTTCTCCGCAAGTTGCTCGTGATCCCGTACCCTGCATCTTTCAGCTTCTTCGTCAGTGCGAAGTTGCTAAAGAGGGTGAACTTCCCCGCGATGAAGAAGGTGAAGGGTTTGCTCGAGTGGTCTCTCAGCAGCTCGCGTGGGGCGCCGCCTTTCGCGAAGGAGCAGTGCGCGGTGGAACACTTTGACGTGCCACCCTTCTGCCTGGCGCCCTTCTGGGGGCTTCCCCTTCCCTGCTGACCCCCCACGTAGTCATTGTACTCTCTGTCAAAATAGTACTTATTCAGAACTCGAAGAATTTTGATCCGCTTCTTCTCATTCAGAATATCACTTACGTTATCATTTAGCCTGAAGCTATTTTTAATGGAGGTTAATTTTTCCTGTACGTTATTTTTCATTTGGTATAGATTCGTTTCGAAATGGTTCCCAATTGCGCCGTCTTTTCTGTTCCTCTTTTGTGCCTTCGTTGCGTGTTTCACCCATGCGCCATCTGGGTGCACGATGGGGGGGAAGTCGGGTTCGCCAGAGGGGTCATCTTCGTCATGTTGAGAGTGATCGTCATCATCATTTCCATCAGCATCGCCGCCACCTACACCCACTGCGCAGCTTTTCCTCGCCTTTCTGCAGAACCCGGTAACAAAGCCAACGTTCAGGCACGTCTTTCTGCCAGCCCTGCTACTAGAGTTGTTGCGTCCTTCCCCCGCGTCGGCATGCGCTTGGGCGTCTGTGTCAATGCCAATGCTCGTGCACGCACCTACCCCTGCACAACTGACTCTCCCGATCCCTACCCTCTTCGTTTTGGCTCGCTCCAATTCAAATTCATTATCTGATTTTAACACTCGTTTGTTTTCCTTTACATAATTTCTGTTTCCTGGTGTTACGGGGTTGTTCGCATGTCCGTTTTGGGACAACTCATCATTGGCTTGACCCCCTTCCCCTCTGTCACAGCTATCGGGGTTATACCTTTCCCTTTTTCTTTTCTTCACATAGATTGCACCATTATTTTTGATATATCTTTCTACGTCCGAAATGGAGTTTCTTTTGTACGATGGGTTTAGCTTTCTGAGGGTGTCTGCTTCGTCTCCGCCGGCGCCGCGTTTGGGTGTCCTTCCACCAGTTTCGCCTTTAAGTTTACCTTCACCAGTTCGCCTTTTAAGTGTATTATCTGCACCTGTTCCGCTTCTCGCCCCGCTTTTGGCGCCCCGCCTGAGTTTGGACCTTCTGGTGCAGCCGAGGCTAGACCCGGTCCCGTCGCTATCCGCACTGCTGAACCCACCCTCGGAAGCACTGTCCTTATTCACATTCACAGTGATTTGAATGTCATTGCCGAAAAAATTGACGAGGGAGATTTTCCTCGCCTTCACTACCTTTGCGCCTTCTTCAGGGGGGATGGAGGAGCGCACATTTTTGTCTCTGTCGTCTCTCCTATTGGGTTCTAAGTGAACATTTTCAATGTCATTCGCTTCTGTGGGTGGTCTAGAAGAGAGGTCTACGCGGGGTCTCTTCGACTGATCCTGCCCAGGAACACCACCGGCACCATCCTCTTCCGTTACGCTCATATCCAGTGAGCTATTCGCGTCATGCTCGTCATCAGAGTAATCCAATTCATCCGATTGATTCGATTGATTCGATTGATTCCATTGATCCGATTGGTTCGATTGATCCGATTGAACCGATTGGTCCAATTCATCCGATTCACCCGAGTCATTTTTTTTCCTTTTGAGTCCCCTTTCTCTTTTGTTCCCCTCGTCTTGGGGTTCCCCATGGGGGGGTTTCCAATCAGGGGGAATTTCGTCACGCGGCTTCTCTTCACCATCAGTTTTGATGTCACCCCCTTCCTCCTTCCTCATCAACGTCGCGCTAAGGGTTGGCACCCTACTCACGTCCCTCCACAAAATCGATTTCACATTGGAAATTCCACATGTCTGAGGAGACGGGTTCACATTGATTTGGTCCATCCTTCTGGACAGTTCATTTTCTACTCTTGGTGAGGCATAAAATGGGCTCTCCTCTCTTGGGGGATATTCCATTTGACTTGTCCCCTCTTCTCCTGGCGCATCTACATGAGTGAGTAACACATTCTGGTCACAAGTCTGGTGTATATTTTCCTTCACTTGGGAATTCCTCCCTAGGGAGTCTATATTTATGATGGTATGTATGTCCGATGCGTGCTCGTCGACATGTTGGTTGTTCTCACAGTTGGAGGGGTTCGGTGTCTGGAGGGTCTTGGCCACTTTGCCACTCTTTACAATCTTGAAGAAGTTAGTAATTTTATTTGTGCATTTTTCTTCTTTTTCTTTCCTCTTCTTCTTCCTATCGTTGTTGGTCCTCGTGGGGCCATCTCCCCTGTTGGGTTCACTCCTGATGGATTCTTCCTTGCTATCCTGCATCTCCCTCCGTGTAGCAGGTGTGGACGTGAAGGCAGCAAAAGGGTGTAAATATCTTTTGGCGTGTTTTTCCCACCCACTTCCTTCGTATGAACCTTATGTGAGCATATGAAAAGAGAGTGATACCTCATGGGCTGCTTTAAGAAGAAAAAAAAAAAAAACAATAAAATGATAAACAAGAAAATTTACATTTTCGATAAGTGAACTAACGAATGAGCACTTCGAACTGCTCCCCAATGTATATCCTATAGCATGCAAAATGATGCGCTTATTTTGTGTATTTTTTTTTTTTTTTGGAGAAAATTTCGAAGAAC